GACCAGGAAAGGGAAGGTGGTGGTTAGGCAGCCGGTACCCAAGGCTGGATACATCATTTCCAGTATACCCAGGAGCACAGGCCTGACAGAAACCAGTGAATCTGCTGCATCCACACTGCAGGTAAGGCCGAAAAATACTTAAAATACATTTTCCAGAAGCGTTTTTACTTCAAATTTTACATATTTTTTTAGTATTTTATGTACGTTTCTTTATGTAAAAGACACAGTTGATCAAGTTCCTTGAGCAAACCTGTCCTAGTATACTAGTACTTTGCTTATAGTTCTTTATGTCAAATCTCATTTTCTTACATCTTTAATTTTTAATTCTTTCTAGTACAGTTCAACCTCTATTACTAAGTTACATGTAAGATCATCAGCATCATTATTTGAACATTGTGATGTAGATTATAGTGTATATTTACATACATCAGGTTTGGACATATTTATAGCAAAAAATGTCATTATAAATTATATATAATCTCAGTAACAGCTGCTTTGTTCCCTCCAACTAATTACTTATTTAAACTAGTAATAAGTAGGCCTAATAACTGATATATTATTAGATAATGTCAAGTCAATTTTAATTCATGGCAGGAATAGTGACATTCCTCTTGAACTTTGTGTCTTTTGTGATAATAATCATTACAGAACCTAAACAACAATTGGAAATTTCATCCCCACGGTTTTAGGGACACAGAAGTTCAAGTTTAACTTAAAATGCGAGAATGACAACATAAATCTAATTGTGGGCCAAATTTTAACAACTGGTAAATTACAACGATACAAACTTATTCATATATAGTGTTTTTTATTTTGTTTATTTGTCTTTCACTATGGGACTCAATCCAAAAATTCATATTTGTCAAGATGTTAATACACTGAAACTTTCACCTGGAGAGGCAGTAACTACTTTTTTGTCCAGTTGTTGTTGAATTTTTCAGGACGTGCAATTCAAAGATTATCTTACCCAAGTTTCATGTATTATAAATTAATTGAATTGACTTATGGATATAAATTAAAAATGTTGCCCGTGTAATCCCGCCTAATGAATATTTTTAATTTGTTGCACAGGTATAGGACAACAATTATTTCGTGCAGACTATAGATAGGCTGTTTTTCCGTGTTCCACTACCTCATCGCCACGAGACCTTATGTGAAGTATCCACGCGTCGTGTCGCTATTGTCTCATATATGTCGCAATGAGCGCGTTATTCTGGAGGCGCGTGGAAGCCATGACAGTCGTTATGATACCACGTACTGTGTGCTTTCGGCAGAACTAGCTCATTTTCTGCAAGGAGTCTATGGTTAAAGCTACAATTTTCCTCTCAAGCAAACCTTAGGATATTTTTATTGATTTGATTTTGGGCTGTTCTTTTTGTTGAAAAACAATGGTGCCGCATTGTACTATGAAAGGTAAAACAAACCGTCCCGTTTTCTTTGTATTTTTCGCAATATGGAGCAGTGTCGGGGCAGTGACTCGTTACTCTATTCCCGAAGAAATGAAGGAGGGTTCTGTGGTGGCGAATTTAGCCGATGACATTGGACTAAGTGTAGGAAGTCTGACTGAACGTAAGGTAAAACTTGATATTTTACACAGCAAGAAATACGTAGACGTAAACAAAGAAACCGGAGAACTGTATATTGTAGAGAGGATCGATAGGGAATATATATGTAGCATGAAATCGTCCTCTTGTTTGTTTAAAATGGATGTTATCATCGAAAATCCTGTGCGAATTTTTAATTTCGAATTAGAGATACTGGATATTAATGACAATGCCCCTCAGTTCCGAAGGGAAACATTACATTTAGATATTTCCGAGTCAACAGCGGCTGGGGAGAGGTTCTC